TTTTTATTTTGAATTAGAACAGAAGCGTATTTTGCAATATTGTTGGTTTTGGTAGAATAGAAACATCAATTCCCAGTCAGTTCTAGTGATTATTTTCTTTTCTAATGCTTGTCAGCCTCTTTATCATCCTGATATTCTCTGTGACCCTGAAGCCAAGCTCCATGAGAAAGTGGTAGGGGGAGGTTTCTGCGTTTCTCATAGCTTGTACTGTGGTTTGGGATTCTCCAGACTATTTTCCCTATTTCTGTTCAGCTGTGGGATCTGCTTCCCACAAGGCATCTTGCCATACAGCCTCTCCCAACCCTTTTCTTCCCATTCTTCCTCCCAGGTTTTCTTGCATGAGTCTGACAACTCTGTGATAATCATTCCTCCTCCTCACTGTTCTCCTCAGGGATCTGTGTGGGTGGGCAGAGCTGGTGTACAGAGCACAGCTCTCTTATCTCTACAAATTCATGAAATTCACCAGAAGCCTTCCTACCAGCAATAAACTTCTCCTTCACGCAGCAAATCCACAGCAAAATGCGCACACATTTTACTAGAAAAAAAATTATGGCTAATTTTCCAGACCAAGCACTGCTTAGGAGTCACCCTTGGAGAAATCTGGCTTCTTGGCTTCAGAGCAGCTCCCAGAGGGCTGGAGACAAAGGCAGGCATCTTGGGAGCTGGAGCCTGGTGGCCATCCATGTCAGCAGCTGAGAGTGGTGGTGCAGCAGAAGGCAGAGCATGCTCCCCCAAGGCATTGCTGCTGTGCGGCCAGGGAGACACGGGACAATGTGGGATATGCCAAACCTGTCAGCTGCTTTTGGGGTGACTCACTCGGGGAGTGCACCCAAGTAAATGAGGCGTGGGCAGGATTTCGCTCAGTGCATCATCTGCTTGTGACAGTGTTTCCCCCCACGCAAGGGAATATACCCTTTAAATTTCTCTATTTAAATCCCTGTCTTGCTGCCTGCTGGTGTGTGGGCTCCAACTAGCTACAGTTGTAAAAACTCGATACCTACATGAGACTGCCTCTGAGGGACACGTCAGCCTGGAGCTCCCTAATGGTCAGCCCCAGCTGAGATGCCAGGGCACGAGAGAAACTAAATCAGATTCCCTTCCTCAAACACAGGAAACATGGAAGGAAATAAGCCAGAAAACTACATCTTTGGGGACTACATTCTTGTGCTGAAGTTGTTAGGGATAAATCTTCTGCTATGAAGGCAAGGACATAGTCTTAATCTTCTTTAAATGAGACCAGTGAAACTTCCCTCTGCATTTTTCCATGAAACCAGTAACATACTATGCAAGCACAGGCTCAAAAGAGTCATCCCTTGGTTATAGCTCACATGTACTAATATGCCTTGGGGAGATCTGTGGGTACAGTTGGCAGTGATTATCATAACTTCCCTCTGCATTTTTCCATGAAACCAGTAACATACTATGCAAGCACAGACTCAAAAGAGTCATCTCTTGGTTATAGCTTGCATGTACTAATGTGCCTCGAGGAGATCTGAGGGTACAGTTGACAGTGGAGTCTACACCCTGTGATTATCATTATCATCCTCATCATCCAAACCAGCTACCCATCACCTGAAACACTTTGGGTAGCTGTTTTTATCAGAGCAGAGGAGGATCTGGAAAGTTCAGGTTTTGGCACAGAATCTGGTGAATCCTTACCCCATGGAGAGCACAGAGGGTGAGAGGTGCTCATCTGCCTGAAGACCTTCAGCTGAGCCTACAGGAGAGGTTGGTGCTGGAAGCCTTGCCAGGGCATCTTACTGTACACAGAAAAACCTGAGGAAGGAAAGGAGCTGGTTGATGGTGCACAAACCAGAGGAGGAAAGCAGGATACCAGCACTCTTATGTTCATGGGAAACAGCTGCATAAGCTGAAGTCAAACCTAAGAAATTAAAATCTCTGAAACCAATTACCATTCAACCCCTGTTGAGCCCCACCTTCTGATTTATCACCCTTTCAGCAGATCTGTGAAGTGTGGGTTCACCTCATCACTTGAGGTCATCCTCTGACAGCACAGTCAGCTACTGTAAGCCTGTGAAGGGAAATATTATTTTCCTCAGAACACATTTTTTGAGACAATGGCTCAGCAGTCAGAATGAAATCATCAAACAATAGGATAAGCCAAAGCAAAAGCAACAGATACTCGTGGGTGGTTTTGACCAGTTGGCTAATAAAAGACACATAAATTTTATATTTCAAGTTTATTATATTAATACAATCAAGATTTAATTATTTTCACAGCTAGTGTACATAATTATATTAGGCTATGTATATATAGTTTATTCCAGCAAGTTACAATTGTTTTACCTTTACTCATGCAGCGAGTAATGTGCAAACACAATTATGGGTAAGATTCTTCCCCCCTTAAAAAAGAGAAACCAAAATTACAAAAGTATGGCTTTATAAGAAAGTTGTATCATACAATGAACATTCATTTGTACTTGGGAATGGCAACATTCAGTCTTAATAAGTGACCAACAGCATCTGTCACTGCTATGCTGATTCCAGAAACACAAAGGGAACTGGGAACAGAGAAATGCCGTTGATTTTAGAGATGGAAAATATATATCTATATACATTCAGAGTACAAAAAATGTAAAAAATGTTTTCAGAGATTAAGTGTCACATTTCTTTGTATGCTAAAATTATGGAGCCTTGAAGTACACAAATGCACAAACAGTTTGTTTTCCTTTAGACCAACAAACATCTGTAGTGATGGAACCAACTTAAAAAGTGTTACTTCAGGTGCAGGCAGGTGTAATTGAGGTCAGAATCTGGCCTGTCCTTCCTGCTAATGATGCTGCAGAAATAGACAGAAGCACAGGGTTAAGAAGTCATAGGTGGCTGAATTTTGCTGGCATCCCAGAAAAAAATAGAAAGACAAAGATGTACATTTAAGAGACTTTATATTTTTTAATGTGTTCTAGAATAAAGTGTGGCCAGCATCACAAACGCTTTGCTGGATGATTGTAGCTGCCAGCAAGCAGAAGCCCTTGTGCTTGGTGTTCGGAAATAAAACACCCATTTCAAGAGCAAAACTGCTGCCTCTTTCCAAGAGAAGAAATGTCCTTACCTGTCAGCAGCACAGGGCCTGGGACACACACACTGACCGCGTGAAAAGGCTGCTTCCGAAGGGCATGGCTCACTGCTGGTGCGAGGAGGGCAGCGGTGGGAGCTGCCGGTCGGTTGCGGATTTGCCAGGAGAGGGCAGGCAGACACGCGTGTGCGATGAGAGGGCAGGCAGACACATATGGCAAGAGAGCAGGCACTCAGTGCACACACACACCTGCACGTTTTCACTCACTCACTCACTCACTCACTCACTCACTCACTCACTCACTCACACCGCCCCACTGCACTCACTGAAGTGCTTCTCACCAAAACCAAAAGCTCGAGCATACAGACAATTCAGATCCTTACAATGTTACTCATCAAAATTGAAATTAAAGAGATGCAACTTACAGAACCAACCTAAATCCAAAGATCAGAAAAGACTTTACCCTCTCCCTGTTTCTCTCTTGTGTTTATTCTTTTTTCCAAGTTCAGAAATACAGATCTGAGCAACACTTACTCAGTGTGCAGATATGCAGAATGTAAACATCACCACACAGCACCCAGCACCCTTTTTGATTAACAAAGTCACCAACATATTTGCCATGCAAGCACAGGGATTTTTCAAGATGGTCAGGTTGCAGGAAAATATTGCAAAATATTTTTGAGTTTACTTTTGCTAATGACCTGGCTTGGAAAGAATGGAGAGAAAAAGCCAACACAACAGATGGGGCTGAGGTAGATTTGGCCATATCTGATGTAATGTCACTGTATTGACAAAGAAGATGAATGGGATCTCAAACTAACAGGCAGATCACCACAATATAAGCAGAGTCCAGGGAGAAGATTCCCCTATTCCAGCAGGAGTGCCCATCCTGCTGTCACATTGCTACAGGCAATGGAAAGAGTTGTCACCACAGTGCTAATGACCCTAAACTTTGTCCCACTGGGACTGCACATGGGAGTCCTGATGGGATTGAGGACCAGCTGGTGTTCGATCTCTTGCTAAAATGGTCAAGAAAAGGAGAAATGAGTGGGCTGTGGAGTGATCTTTCCTGTGCAGGTACTTGCCTGTTATACTCTGGCTGGACGCACCAGAATTTTTACATGTTGGCCAAAGTGGACCAGCAGCTTTCTTCCAGGCTGGGGCACCAGTCACAGGAATGTCCCAGAAAGAAGCTATTCGAGACAATTCACCTTCTATCCTCTCTCTTGGCAGGTGGATTGAGGGGAGCCTCCCACTTGGACATACATGCACACAAGCATCCTGCTGTCAAACCCACCCATAAAGTGCCTGATTCCTGACCTCTGCATTGATCCACAACTATTGCAGCCAACAAGAGACCCCTGCACCACTTTACACTCACTTGCTCACTGCTCTGGTTCTCTGAGCGTGGCCACCTTCCTTAATAGAAAGTGCTGGCATTAATGCCAACAGTCCCTACCTGCCTCCTTGGATTTGTAAGATGAACAATCCTCCCCTCCCTCCTGTCTTTTCTGAAACTCTTCACAGCACTGAAACTCACATGATTTCGAGCCAGTGCAATAGCACTGGATGATCTCCATTTCCTCCTTTCCTGGGATCTCTGCTTCCAGGACCTAATTACTATTCTAATAATACCCTTCATCAGCCTCCTCCGCCTCTCACCCACCGACATCCGGACAAGATACCGCAGTGCTGCTGCGAACAAACCCAATCCTGCTCCTCGGGACTCCCGGGGTGCCACAGGGGCTGTGCTCTGCACAGTCACTCTAGGCAGCCATGGGCAGCGAGAGCCTCTCCGTCCTCTGCCTCCAGCTCCGGGTTTTGGGGGGAGTATGTGCCAGTGCTAAGGAGCCTGAGGGCTTGGCAGAAGCAGCTGAGCCACTGCTTATAATGCAAATCTGCCTTGGGCTCTGCTTTGCTTCCCAAGCCGTGACAGCTTCTGTCTGCAGTCGAAGCTGTCAAGCAAGCACAGGCTTCCCCCAAAACTCTCACCCAACGCTGACCCTGCATTTCCCCATTCGCAGCCTTCCCCATCGAACAAGGAGGAATAGACACAGATGGAGAAGGACATTTAAGTCCCCAGGGGCAGGAGTGGAGGGACACTGCAGCACCAGAGATGTGGGATTTCAGGAGAAGGGTTAACCCCTTCATGGCCTGCTTGCCACTTTTGGGGCTGGACTGACATTTTCTCCACCTCACAAGCAAGGCTTCTCATTCACCTGGCCTAGCACAGGTGGCACTGGAACTGAGGTCCTCCCACAGCATGCGGGAGGAGATGGCTGGGAGGAGCATCCCAGTGTCTCAGAAAGGATGGTCCAGGTGGCTGTGGGTGGCATGTTCTGCAGCCACATAGTAAATCTCCACCTGGCCATGGCTGGCATTGCCAGTGTCCTGGCACACAGGAGGTAGCCCATGCAGAGGGAAACTAAATGGAAGTGCTCCCTGCACTGACAGAAAGACGGGAGCAGGTCCAGCACAGCCTCCTTGGTTCAGGCAGGGAATTAGCCAGGTGAAACATGAGCCATTTTTGCACAAAGTAATTGAGATTTGACTGCACATCATTCTTAGCTACTGCTGTGGAAAGTGGTTTGTGCCCCACAGCCTTGGGCTCCAAATCCAGCCCAAGAGGAGAGTGAGTTCTCCACTGCTGCCCAGTGCAGGCAGGGGAAGTGAGTTGTACTACTCCAGCAGAACAGAGAGTTGCACTTACAAGGAGTGGGGAACACTGGTATCCAAAATAAGGGATGTCCCCCAAAGGGAGATGGGATTCTGTCACTGCTCTATAGATGCTGAGAACAGCCAGAAGAGCAGGACCAGTGCCTTGAGCAGAGAGGGCAGAGTTATTCAGAGCTACCCTGAAAGCTGCCCAGAACCAGCCCTGCTTTCTGCAAGCTCACCCTGCCTGCAGTGCCCAGTTAGTGGGAACATTTTGTAGCTTCCAGAATAAGGATTTCTGTCTGGATCTGTGTGGCAAAAATACTCTAAAACCGACAACAAGTAACAGCTTTTAACAGCAGAACATCATACCCCAGCTTAGGATAAGTAACAAATGCCTATGGCTCTGAGACCCACAGGGAAATCAAGTTAGCCAGTTAATCTCCTGTAGAGATATGTTCCAAAACACAGGCCAAGGAGAAATAATGCCACATGTGAAAGATAGGGCTCCCAATGTCCCTGCTCCAATTGCCATTTGTTTACTGGACATTGGGGAAAATGGTTCCTTCCCCATTGCACAAGTCTGTAGAGGCATCAGGGCTGGGATTGCCTTTAACCCCCTCGCTCCCAGGTGAGACTGGATGCTTCCCATCAGATATTCTGTGGATCTTTATCTCCCATCCCCCAGGAATATATACACACTGCCCCTCTCTGAACTCGTGCCCTCCACACCATGACCTGCTGTAAAGTAACTCCGTAGGATCAGTTATCCTGCAGGAACTGCCTCTGCATCCCTGCAGCATCAGCCATGCACTTTGTGGTTATTACTAATGATGCTTGAGCATTGTTAGAAAGGAAACTTGATGTTTGAACCTTGTTGGCAGGGGATGGTATTCCTCCCAGTTCTAGCAGTGACACCATTTAAAAATCCCACTGGGTACGTAGTTCCTTTTAACCAAGGTGCATTACACAGGATACAGTTATCATATTGGGAATTCAGATACACTGATACCAGCTGACAACTAAGAAACCAAACATTACACAGTCTCAACTACAGTTAACCCTTCACATGCACAACAAAACAGAAAACAAGGAAGGCTTTTGCCTTTAAAAGTGCCGTGCCTGCAATCAGTTAGAAAAGACATTTAAAATCTCGTCACAAAATATTGGATTTTCCAGCATAGCTTAATAGGTTAAGTACTAAAATCACACTAAAATGCAGAGGGTGGTGGATAACCAGCTCCTCTAAGCTGCCTTGGAAAATCCAAGACCCATTGAATAAAGTCAAGGAAAAACATTTACCACGTTTTTTGCTGGTAGCTTTTTGCCATAGGATGGTAAAGGCTTTAGTGCCTGAGGTATAGGTAGTTCCTGGACGCTTTTAGGGAAGTGGGAAGGGGGAAGAGTCTGGAGAATAGTTTGCATAGCTTGCAGATATAAAGAAGCAGGTGTGTTCCCCACCAGGCTGTTGAATTTGTCTTCTCCCAGCAAAGCTGTCCAGTGGTCTGGATGCTCCTGCAGAACTTTCCGCATCTTAAACTGTGGGTTGGGCATGAAGAGCAAGAGGTAGTCGAGGCAGAGCTTCTTTGATGCGACATTGACTTTGGAGTCCCACATCTGCTCCAGGATGACGTCCAGCGGGGTCAGCCCTTTGCTGTCCTCTATCCTGGGAGATGCTCCGTTCCCGAGGAGGATGAGGACCGTCTCTGACCTCAGCAGTTCGCAGGCAAGGTGCAGGGGTGTTTTCCCATCTTCCAGATGAAAGCAGCCAGCCCTATTGATATAGGAGTTCAAGCTGGGGAGCTTGTGTGCAATTTTGATGATCAGTCCCAAGATATCTCTCCTGTCATATGTGACCGCCATGGCCAGGTGAGGAGCAGAGGATGGGCAATAGCAGAAGTGTTCCCCAGGCACCTTGAGAGCCTCCTCTGGAAAATGAGACAGCAGATACTGAGCATAAGGCAGGTGATTATGCACCACTGCATAGAGAAGGGCTTCTGAAGGTGAGTACGTTCGTAGGCTAGCATTTTCCTCCCAGTAAAAATACTCCATAGTTCTCATGTCTTCCAGCATCCACACAGGCTTGTGATCTCTCACAGCCTGATAGAACATGTAGGATAAGAACTTGCAGTGCCTGCTCTGATCATCCTGCAGGCTGGCCTGGTTACTGGCCATGGCTCAGCAAATAAAGAACAGCTCCACGTAAAATCACTCCAGACTGTAAGATTGGTGCACTTGGAATGCTGATCCCGATGCTGCTGCAACCTTCAGGCTGTCATTGCTGCCTGGACTGCACTAGCTGGAATGCATGGGCTGATCATCTCCACCCATTCATTGTTTTTCCCCTCACTGCAGTGGTTTTGTTTAGGTAAGCACAATCCCACAGGCTCAGTTAACCCGTGCCATGCAAGCAGATGGTTGGTGAGTACATCCCGCTCTGCTCGTGGCACAGGTTACTGAAACGCTGTCAGACTGCCAGTGATTTTATACACACACAGCCACAGAGAACAGAGGGAGAGACTAAAATTAGCTTGAGAGGTGAGGCGGATTTCTGTCTGCATTTCGTGTCTAACCAGATCAGCTCATACACTGCAGCAAGTGGAATAGCAGTGTTCTGCTATTTTATGGGGTTTTTTTATGTCACTCACACACACGCAGCTCATTATATAGTAAAAAATATGTAGCAGTGTAAAATACTCCACAGCTGATAACAGGCATGATTCCATCCTCGGGAAATCAAGGGATTGGTAGTGCTAGCACTAGGAAAGGATCCCTATTTTATAAATAATGGTATGGCTGGCCACTTAGGAGACACTGATGTTAATGGATTGTCTATAAGGCATTAGCAATGTTTAAGATGCCAGCATTAATCTCTGCAGAGAAAAGAGTCAAACAGTGTGTGCAGTAACTGTGCCCAGAGTCATAAAGCAGATTTAAAGCTGGGTTTAAACGCCTTCCTTTGTTTAGCAAGGAAATACCTGGAGTGCCCCTGCTGCACAGCAAGGGCATAAACAAAAGGTTAATGTCCAAACCCCACTGGTGGGTGGGGAGCTTTGATCAAAGCATTTCTCAGATGTCCTGCTTTGGGACTGTGTCAGAGCAGCAGCAATGGGGGGAAGTGGGATTCGGCAACCAGACTTGTGCAACACCCTGGTAAAACACAGAGGACCAAGGCCTACAGGTTTGAGGGGAAAGGTCCTATTGGATGGGGCAGAAGGACTTGGCCAAAATTAAATTCACAGAAAATAAATTAACTAAGAGTCCTTTATGGCAAGCTCTGATTAAGGAAGGAGGGTTTGCATGCATCCTATAAATCAACAGATTTCAATAAAATAGTATCACTGTTTTGGTAGGAGAACAGGCTTTCCCTTTAACGGAAAATACAGCACATCAGGAAATCCTTATTTTCATTTCACAAGAAGAAAAACATACAGTAAGTATATTCAAACTAGAGAGAATTCAAGTATCTGATCTCCAAATGTTGTTTGGAGTCATCCAAAGAGAAAACCAAAGCCACTCACAAAACTGGGTCTAGATCTTGCACATCTTCCAAAGTTTTATAGCCATTAAACAACCCTCACCTGATGCAGATGTTAAGATAAAGCTCCCCTGGGAAGTGCTCACAGCACCCAGCCTGTCACAGCTCAGGGAGCATCTGGACCATGCTTTTAGGCATACAGATTAATTTTAGGTAGTCCTGTGAGTTGACTTGGTGCAAAGACACGTATAAGTCAAGAGAAAAATGTTCTGCAAGTATCTCCAATGAAAAGGGAAGCCAAAACCCCAGATCAGAAGTAGTTCTGCAAGTATCTCCAATGAAAAGGGAAATCAGATCAGAAATGGCCATGAGGCTTCTGGACAATCATCTCCACACCGCAGCTCCAGGATGTCCAGGATGTGAAAACATCTCTAATTACACTGTACCTTGTAATTACAAGTTACACTGTAATTCTGCCTAGGAAGCCCAGCCCAAAACTAGGAGTCCCTCAGGTGGTTTGCTCACTTCTTTTTAGCTCCAAATGGCACAGATCTGTCTGCTTTGGTGGCTCTTGGCCTTTTCTCTTTTTTTTCTCCAGAAGTTTAGAAAAGCTGGTGCTAAGGGCATCTTTTTGATGGCAATACATTGCTACTGGATTTTATTGTAAGCATAATACATCCGTAAAACATTATAGAACCATTAGAAATGGAAGACATTGATATGGAAAACTTCACTGAGGAACTAGAAAAAGACTAGGAGTTTGGAAGTTTCTATTTATTTATTTGAATTTTGATCTGTGGCTAAAAATAATGGTTGCTAATTCATAAGGTGTTTGTTGTGGTTTTCCTCTTTGACAAAGTGCAGTCTAGAAGAGGAATAGAATCAGTTTTGACTCACAGAGAGAGCATCCAAGACAGCAGGGACAGGTTTGAAGGGACAAACTGAAAAACAAAAGCTGATTTTACCCAAAACACTATTTACCTTTCCATTTGAGGCTGAGAAGCTCTTTAGATCTCTCCTGGGTAGAAGCATTTTTCACATTTCCTGGTGATTTCAGCTTATAAAGTATTTGGTTATTTTGAACTTGTGAGAAATATAGAATGTTTCTGAGCTATCCAGAAACCTTCTTACAGTGTTATGCTCAAAATATTGTTTCTGGGCAAAAGGGAAACATACCTTATATATAAAGACAAGAATTGAATGTTAGTAGAACTGAAATCTTAGCATGGTAAGAAAAAAAAATTATTAGTCCAGGTCAAATTATTACAGAAAAATAAATAATACTCCTATCAGAAAATATTTCAATAGCAATAATAATATTTTTAAAATAATTTGAAGCCTTTTGCACACTTCTTATCTTCTATCCCTGTTGCTGATGTTTGTTCCCTCTGCCCATGCTCATCTAAATTCTAACGTTGCTGGTTTCATTCTGATGGTGGTGTTACAGGACATCATCAGGCTCTGGAGTTATTCTGTAGGAGGAATGTGAGCTTGATGGTGATGGTTTCTTCTTCCTCACTCCAGTTTCTCCTGGAGGTCAGTTTTATTAGTTACATACTTTTACACCTGTATTTTTCTTCACTGGATTGCAACTCAATTTCACATCCACATTCACAATAGATGCTGATTCTATACATGTAAGATATTATTTCTTTGTCCTCTTTTCTACCCCTGAAACCATTCTCACCCAGCTCTGTATCTGCATTTCTTTAGCTGTCCTCAGGTGAGGGGTTTGTAGCTGTGAGTACTCCAGACTCAGGCCTGTGCCCCATCTTTTCACATCCCACTGGGCCTGCAGCCCCCCTCAGTGCACCCTGTGCTTCCACTTCGCAGGACTCTGCTGTCACACCAAGCCCATGATCACCTCTGTCAGCTCCAGCGTGTGAAATTGGAGTTGTGAACACCTCATAGTGCACAGAAGAGCTGGTATGACACTATGGCCCTACCATGCAGTGCTAGTGAAAGTGAACCCCATCAGCTGTAGGCACCTGGCTAGAAGGAGGAGAGTGTTCCTACAGCTAAACCAAACTGAAACAAAGCAAAAGGCTCTCTGTGGTAGTCCAGGCAATGCAAGTTTGTCAGGCCTCGGTCCTGAGCCTTTGGAAACTCAGTACAGACCCTGCAATGGCCAAACTGTGCTGCAGGGACAGAGAGTTCCACTAGATCCTGTTGCTGGAATAAGACGAAGCAGAAAGGGTTTGTGTACTGCGTGCTGAGAGTGGGGCTTAGGCTGAGCAAACTTTCCCTGTCATTTCTTCCTCCTGCCCCTCTGTACAAAGTTACAGGGAGCAATGAGAACAACTGTGGGGACAAAAGTGAGTGAAGACACCTTCTGGAAAAAGAAAAAGCCAGCAGCAGCTTTTGGTCACTGGGACTAAACTGGAAGTGAGGCTTTTGTCATTTCACTGCCTGGTGGGAGCAAGACATTTCTCTCCATTAAGGGAAGAGCAGCCTTGCCACAAGCTCCAGTGATCCATGTGAGCTCAGCACACACACAGGAAAAACTTCAAGGAAGAAGCTGCTTGGGAAACAGAAGAACAAAAGGCTTTGGGAAAGATTGGGACCATCTCCAGCATTCTACCTGTGTCAACAACTCCAGTGAGGTGTTTCTGGTTCCCTTTCTGCCCTTCTCCAGTGACCTCAATTGACATCTGTTTCCAGGCAAAACTGATTTCAATTTTCTGTGCCCTTTGTACAGGAGGGCACTGGGTGATCCAGCCAGGATATACAAAGAAGCAAATTGATTGCCAGATATCAGATGCCTGAGCACAAAGCAAGAAGATGTCCTTCTTCAGAGGCATGCTGTTTTTCAGGATGTGTCTGCTGGTCTTTTTCCTTTCCTTGGAAAAGAAAAACTTATCTGTTGGGGATGGATGATAACCCTTCAGCCACAGTGAGGCTCTAGGAAATGCTTGCTGTGTCCTGCTTTCCACGTCCAGCCTGGGCTGTGCAGTGCAGCTTTGGGACATCCTGTGTGACAAATTAGTGCCCTTGTGCAGAGCCCTACTGCACCTCAAGGCCGCTTTTACAGCGCATGAAGGGTTTCTTTCATGCCCTGCTACACACTTACCAGCTCTAATTCATCCAGCTGACTAAACTAGGCTTTGGGACAGTGGAAAAATCTACACTCTGACCTGCCCTGGATCGCAGAATATTTCACTTCTGCTTGCAGGTTTCAAACAGCGAATGAGACAATTTTTTACTACATTGCTAGAGGCAGGAAATGAAAATAAGCAGAGATTTACCACTTTGGAAAGCCTTTGAATTACTTGTAATGGGACCAGCTGATGTGCTGCAGGCAGGCCAAATCAAACACCAAGTTGTTATTTACCTGCAGAACTTTGGAAGTAAAGATGACTACCTCACATGCAACAGACATCTGCGCTGCAGGCAGGCCAAATCAAACACCAAGTTGTTATTTACCTGCAGAACTTCGGAAGTAAAGATGCAACCTCACATGCAACAGACATGTGCAATATATCGGGTATATATATGTGTGTGTGTGTATATATATATATATATATATGTGTGTGTGTGTGTGTGTGTATATATATGTAAGAGATACTCATCTGGAGACACATGGAGGATTTTCGGGTGATGTCCGCAAACACCAAGTTGTTATTTACCTGCAGAACTTCGGAAGTAAAGATGCAACCTCACATGCAACAGACATGTGCAATATATCGGGTATATATATGTGTGTGTGTGTATATATATATATATATATATGTAATATATGTAAGAGAGACTCATCTGGAGACACATGGAGGATTTTCAGGTGATGTCCATGCTGTTGGTTGATCACTGCTGTAATCCACACGTGTCCTGCTTATACTGCTACACCCAGATGCTCAGCTGGACATTGTACCAAGACCTGGAGCACTTACAAATGTTAGGGAAGCCAGGGCAATATGTCCGTGCTGTTGGTTGATCACTGCTGTAATCCACACGTGTCCTGCTTATACTGCTACACCCAGATGCTC